TATATATATATATAAACAAACTACTACTTACTGCTTGTACTATTAGTCCTACTTCGTGGTTTTTCACGTATCGCAGGTCTTCAGGGTACGGATCCCCCGTGACAAACAAGGGACTACTGTAGTTTAGTTTCTTTCTGAAATTTTAGGGATACGATACATTTATGTCTTTAAACGTTTGTAATTTCACAAAAAAAACATTATGCTTGTGCATCATCACAATTTACCAGACTTTTTTTTTTTTTTTTTTTTATTTACTCTTCCAGATAATTTGTTTTGAGTTTTATTTTTTCCTGTCACAGATCAAGAATAGAACATCCATGCAGACAGTCTGTGACACCCACCAACTGTTCGGTAAACGTTGTAGCTTGTGGGCGCACCATGTGCACCTGCGAGGCTCACGGAGCCATTTCTGAGTCGGAGCATGTTTGGAAAGCTTGATGAAAGTCCTGTGTTGGAACGTGTTGCGTTACCTGAGGATAATTGTGAGGATGAACATCTTGCGTGTGTTCAGCACAGACGCCCTGCAGCAGCGCCTCAGACTACACTTTAATCTGCGTGATGCAACAGAATGTCACCACGATTAACAGTTTAATATGCAATTAGCTCAAGATGCTAACGGACCTCTTTCTCTCTCTTCCTCTTTTTCTTATCTGAAACTTTCCCCCTTTTTTCTTCATGTCTTCCTCTTCTCCACTTCTCCTTTTCTACTTCCTGTCTCTTGTATTTTGCAGAGGAAGCTGACTACACAACGCTGGGAACAGATTCGATGACCAGAAAGAAGAACACAGTCCTTTCAGCGGTTCTTCTGCGGCCTGACACCAACAAGAAAAAACCTCCGGTGATCATTAGCCTCCCGAAAGACTTCCGTCCTGTATCCTCCATCATCGACGTGGACATCCTTCCAGAGACGCACAGACGCGTCCGTCTGTACAAACACGGCCAAGAAAAGCCTTTGGGATTTTACATCCGCGATGGCTCGAGCGTACGGGTCACTCCGCAGGGCCTGGAGAAGGTCCCGGGTATCTTTATCTCACGTTTGGTGCCTGGTGGTTTGGCCGAGAGCACCGGCCTGCTGGCGGTTAACGACGAGGTGCTGGAGGTGAACGGTATCGAGGTGGCTGGCAAGTCTCTGGACCAGGTGACGGACATGATGATCGCCAACAGCCACAACCTCATCATCACCGTGAAGCCTGCCAATCAGCGGAACAACATCGTGCGGAGTGGAGGAGGAGGCGGCGGCACTGCGTCTGGCAGTTCAGGACGATCATCGGACAGTGGCGCCAGCTACTACGGTTACTCATCACACAGCGTCCCGGCCTCTGTACCGTCGCACATCATCCAGAACTTCCCCGTCGGGGAGCTGGAAAGCGACGAAGAAGATGAGGACCTGGTGATCGAGGCAGGAGGCGAAGCCGAGGCCATCAGACACGCCCCCTCCAACTACAGCGTACCCCCCGTGCCTCGCTACGAACCACACCTCAACCTCCGCACCAACTCCAGCTCGCCCTACAGTTTTCACGCCAACGGGACCCTGCCTGGCAGCAGCGGATCACTAAACAGCACTCATGCCAATTCGACCACACCGTCACCAGACAGAGCGAAGGAGAGGCGGAGCCTGGAGGAGGAAGGCACGGTCATTACGCTGTAGGCGGAGCTTTTTACATGCTAATCACTGGAAAACAAAGACGCACGTACTCGGACGCTTCCACGCTCTGCAGGAGGCGGCGGGGGAGCCGTGGACCAGCACTTCAGTCTCGTCGTACTGCGACTGCCCCTGAGAAGCACATGTTTGTTACATCTAAGCATTACAGTGATGCTGCACATAACACTGCGTTCTACGCTTCTCTACACCTGCCAATTATCACTCTGCTGTGCCATGGTGGTGATCCTCCACCTTCTACCGGCACGCGGACGTCCAGGAACACATCGAGCCTAAAGTGACGCTCGCGTGCTCTGCGGTTTTTATCTAAACTAACGGAGTTAGTGCTCGTAAAAGACCCGAGACGTCTCGTTCTTTGTGTTTTTAAGTCCTGTGAAGAGTCCATCTCATAACAAACTTTGGCTCAAACGTTCATCACCTCTCACTGATGAACCTTTTATTTGTGAAGTAAATAATGTCTACAGGGTAATGCCAAAGCAGTTGACCAAATACTGAGATCTGCAAGTTTTTAAGTTAAATTGAAGCCACCTAAAAATCAGTGCTGGCTCAGATGGTTTTAAACACGATCACGCGTTTTGCTTATTTTTACTTTGCTGTGGTCATGACCGTGTTTTTACATCACTACCGTCTCTTTTTCTTAGAGATGCATTTTTATTTTTCCTATCAGACCAATAGAAAGTTGTGAACCTGACTCAATATTCCTGCCAGCTTTATTTCATATTTCACTGTTTTTATAGGGTGGTATGTCTCGGGGCTGCGCCTGTTGGTGAAAGAGTTTTCAGAAAGTGTCGAAACGTTCCCACGGGTTCTCCGTTTCCCCTCTTGAGCCTCGGAGACTCGAGTTTAAACTTTGAGTCTGTTGAAACGAGCCGAGTGACAGATTTTCTTGCAGAATAGTCACAAAGTCACAGTGAGCTCATCAAACCCGACTGGATCTGTGTGAAGCTCTGCTCTGACAGGAAACACACACCCCGAACAAAAAGATCATATATATATAGATTTAAAAACATCATGCGAATACTATTACTACTGCTGTTAAAATAATATTAAAAATGCTTTAAAATTAATATATTATCGGCATTAAAATGCTTAATATATTCATAATTTTTGGACTGATTCCTTCACAGCAGATCGTTTCATCCCATCTCCAGCCTCCTCTGTGTTTAAACCAATTAATATATTTATAGTTTTATTTTATTTTAAAGGAGACGGAGAGAACACGAGTGAACTGTTTGACATTCAGTCTTTAGAATCAGCTTTTCCCCCTCAGGACAAATTTTAAACCAATATGTGATCGGCTTTTTTATGTATAGCAATTATTTACATCAAGACTAAATGTTTGATTTCATCTCACACACTGAGATTAGTTTCAGCAGAGAGTCAGAGTTTGGAAAAGCGATTTTTGTCTCGTCTTCCCAACATCCTTCAGCGTGAGCAGCTTGTTTAAAAACGCTCCACGCAGCCGAAGTTTCCTGTTTTGTGTTCGACCAACTCTCGTTTTGTGTCCCTTAAAATTCAGGAGTGTCCCCTTAAAGAAAAATAAACAGGAAGCACCCGTTGGTTTCCTTTATCAGCTCCACAAAATGCACACAAGTGACACACCAAGCTAAAAATTGAGCCTGACGAGCCGACATTAGCTGAGGTTTTAGCCTCTTGCATTAAGCGAGCCTGCAGTTTAGCTGCTAACACGCTAACTCTTGTATCTTGATGCAGACATTGGTTTCACTAAAGCTTTAGCTTGGAATGTGTGTTGCTCCTCTCTCTGGTGGACAGTTCATCACGGACCGTGTCCACCAGATAAAATGTACAACCAGCCGACACCTTTTTAATGGACGTACAAGTCTAGAGAAGTCCCCCCGTACACAGCTAAAGGAGAGCTCGCAGCAGCATGGAGGGGGCACTAAAACTAAAAATCTCTGTTGGCTCGTTATAAAACACTTAAACGGTGCTTTGAACAACGTGATGCACCTTAAACCGTGCAGACATAAAACTGGCCACGTAGCTTTCTGAGAGTTTAGCGACTCTGCGGTGTAAGTTTTGCACATTTTCATTTAATATCGAGTCAAGTTTGAGTCTGGAGCAGGAGCTCCTTCACCACCATGTCAAATGTTTTCTCAGACGTACACACAATTAATTTTTTTATCTTTCCGCTCCCCTTTTTTGGACCATAATTTAACGTATATGAAATGATTGTGTTGTTTTCTAAACGGTCTGTTTGTTTGTTTTTGTCTGCGACAAGCCCTGACGGCGTTGGATTCTCTTGGAGTTCCTTCGTCTGTCGTTGGTTCGTGGCCCAGAAATGTCCGTGTTGGCAAACGCGACCGCAGAGGAGGGTTCGAGCCACTCGTCTGTGTCCTGGTTAGACCGAGTCACAGAAACACGTGGCGCCAACGGATCTCCGTTTGTTAAAGGTGAGACATCTGTATGTACAGAACAGCTGCTCTTACCTGTTGAGGAGTTTCTGATTTTACATCTCAAATCGTCCGAATCCATTGAAAAATCATGAAAAATGACATTTTGACTGTTTTTACTGAGAGTTTTGGGAATAGTTTAAAAAAAAACAAAAAAAAAACGGCTGCAGACATTTCCTCTCAGCACAGTCCTCGGCTCCATAACATTTATTAATTATTTATTAACATTTACCGCTCCTTCATTTCTGCCTGAAGTGAGAGCGCGCACGCTCGCCGATCGATTTCCAGAGCCTTCGCTCTCCGGTTGAACGTGCTAAACCTCGTTCAGCGTCGACTTTCGTTTTACGTGTCGAAATCAAATCAACACGGTCACTTTCAGTGAAACTCGCGTTTATTTTTGCGCACGTGCGAGGATGTCGGTGCTGTTGGGTTGTCTGCCGAGCGGCTGGAAGCAGCACGTGCGTTTCGGAGCTACACGCTCCTCTTGCCTTCTGCGATGCAATAAACTCTGGCAGGATTTTATTTCTTTATTCCCAACAATAAACCGTTGTTGCTAATTTATTTTCCGTCTCTAACTTCACAGGACACTGGGATTGTAACATTTTTATTTATTCTGTAATCCGTCTTCTGCATATGTTCTTCCTTTGTACACTTTATTTTTATATCAGATTTTTTTTTTTGTGTATTCATAATTATTATTGTTTTGATCATAAATATCAAGGTACGGTAGATTTTTATTGTTTTTTTGCCTTTCAGGCTTCATTTCAGTCGCTGATTTTACTGTTTAGGTTTAAAGTATCGAGAGGTTCTGTGCAAGAAATTAAACACTTTTGCTTTTTACTGTGAATTCTTGTTTCTGGCAGCAGGAAGTTGTTACCAACCTCAACATAAACAGCTGTTCTGCTTTGAGCACGTTTTTTTTTTTTTTTTTTTTTAAGTGATCGGGCAATGATTTTTGTGCTTGCCGGATAAATTTTACGATATAGATTTGTAATGAAGAATGTCAGTATTTTCGTATCAACACTATATATGATGTACATTTTTATCATTTGAAGGAAAACGTTTTACGATTTGAGAAGTTGTTAGATCGGCCGAGCTGGATAAAATAAACTCGTGTAGCAATATTTGCTGCTTTGTGTCTTTTCTTGTGTGGAGAGAATCGTAGACGTTCTACTGGTTTATGTTTTTCTCAGATCACTGGAGATGGAAATTTTTTATCACCTGACAACTAAAGGAGGTCGACGTGTCAGTAAAATATCTTACGAACCACTTTTGAAGTCCGACTCAAGATCGCAGCTAAACATCAGCAGATAATGAGCTAAAACTTGACGTGGTAGTAGCTGAAAGTTGTCCCCAACACAAAGTCTGAGCTGAACATCGCAAAATATTTAACAAAACAAACAAATTTATTTTATTTGAGTATTTTGTACATGGATAAATTCAATTTTAACAATCTTAGGGATATTTAAAATATTTTCAGGCTGAAACGTGTTCTGAATTATATCCTGGCTAAGACGGGCCATTCACACAGTTTAAGCTTTAAAGCGTTGCAAACATTTCCATTTGTGTTTTAAAAATATCCTGCATGAATTTAATGAGTCTCACGACAATGAAAATAGTTATTTTTATCGTAGTTCTTTATGGAGAGTGGCAAAATGTGTTTTTTAGCTGTATGCAAACTAAAGAGAAAACCCTAAAAATGACCAGGTTTAAACGTAACGGCAAACTAAAAACACGAAGCACAAGAAGAAGAACCACAAATGAACAGAAACCAGATCTGAACAAAGCTGCAGGAAATTAGTTTTACATTCTGGAAAACCAAACAAAGCTTTTAAAAACCTGAACTAATGAGGAAGGTGCTGATTGACTGAAAGAGATGAATCGACTCTGCACATGCAGCAAGATAAACTTTAAAACTTTAGGGCAGATTTAATGAGATACAGATTATTGCCTGAAAATAGAGTGCACGTTTCCAAAGTTGCTGATGAAACCAGTAGTCACGTCATGAAGGTTGAAAAAAAATATCTGTCATAAATCACACATATATACACAAGTGAACAGGAAATTACTTTCATGAGTAAATATAAACCAGCAAAAATAAAATAAAGAAGCAAATTTGGGAAAGGTGAAGGTTCAAGGTTTGTCATTCGCATCATGTGGTACATGAGGTGGAACGAAATCATCAAGGTCCCAGTTGCACCCAAAAATAGCAAAAGAAGCACCCACACCTGCCTCCACCTTCATGTGCCCCACTCTGGGCCCTTGAGCAAGGCCCTTAACCCCCACCATCTGCTCCCCAAGGTGCAGCTCTCTGCTCCACACACAGGCTGCGGCAGCGTCAGGAAGGACATGCGGCGTGAAAACAACTGCCAAGTCTTCGTGCACGTTACTTCACTGTGGTGACCTCTGAAGAAAGGAGCAGCCAAAATAAAATAATTGTATGAAAGTTGCATAAAAGTCACAGCTTCACACACCTTGACTTAAATGATTTTTTTTTATAGGATTGGAAGAAAAAAATGTACAAAAAACAAACGGGAAAATGAAACAATAGATCCACACTGTTCTAGTAAAACAAGAGTTTAGTTGAAAGAACAGTTGTGTGTTATGCATTTGATTTACACCTGGATTAATGAGCATGAACTGAGGTGTGTTTTATGTAGTTCACATTCTAGTTAGTCTTTTGGTTTAGACCAGGGCTCTGCAACCTTTTTGATCCAAGAACCGTTTCTGCCACTTCACTTATTATAACAAAAAGAGGCTACAACTGATGATCAACTGGTGGCCCATGGGCCACTTTCAGGTAGTTGGAGGGGCCTTTTCTGACCACTGGGACTGAAATTTTAAAACTAGTAATCAATAAAGGAATTTCAGTATTTAATCACATGTTTACATTTTGGGACAAAAAAAACAAGTCTATGATGTAAAGAAGTAAAAACTAGTTTTTACCTTTTAGATGAAAATGAAATCGCTGAACTCTGCAGGTGTGGCCTTTTATGGAGGAGAAATTAAGTATCCCACTTGGAAATAAAGTAAAAAATAGTTGTCGTTCAAACATTTGCAGAATATTGACGCCCCGCCCCCAAAAAAAGCCCAAACTAGCCTTTTTCTAGTGCGTATAAAAACCAGAACAATGAGATTTCCTGTAAGTTTTGGTTAAAGCTTCAAAGAGCCACAGATGAGGGAACAAAGAGCCGCATGTGGCCACAGTTTGTTTTTTTTAAACTTTATTAACAAATTACTTAATACAAAACTCTCGTAGAGGATATATATCACCAGAAAGGAGAAAAACAAAACTACAAAAAAAAAAAAAACATGGTAAAAGAAGAAGGGGGGGGTTACATAAATTTCACAATCTTTGTAATTTAAACAATAAAGACAGTACCAACATGAGAGCGTAGGGAACAAATCCAAAAAAGTAAAATCCTGGAAATGTCTTCATAGATCCTTACAGAAAGAAATAAAGTATTGTTTAAAGTCATTGATAAACCTTGTGAATGATTTTAATAAATTCCTCCACTTACTACAATATGATATTTCCCCATTAGAATAATAATGTTGATCATGTCAGATGGAGACGATTGAAGGTTGTCCTTATAACACAAGACATGTGGTCATTCAAAATGTGGGACATTACTGATTTTTTTGTGATAACCAACTGTGTATCTGCGACCAGAAATGTGCTGATACAGGACATGAAAATAAACAACAACAAAAACAGATGCTGTGTTGTTTCACATACCGAGTTACAGACAGAGCACACGTCTACCTCAAATTTTAATCTTCTCCTTCGAAATTCTGCCACCGGGTCAATGTTATTAATTGTTTTGAAATGTGTTTCTTTGATTTTGTAGAGAGACAGGCCACTTCACAAATTTGGAGAAAGCCTTTTCCATGTAAAACTGATCCCCATTAAAAAATTTAAATGCCTTCCTGAATTATAATCATGAAAAAGAATAGATTTAAATTTAGCATTGATAATCTTATTATCAAACTTACTATCTAACAAATTATAATTTCTATTTTTAGATTAGGTAGTGTTGGTTTGACTAGTGAAACCAGCACGGTGTTGCCAGTGGAATGAATTTACTAGATTTAGACTTTGTGGTGTTATGTCGCCCTCTGGTGGACACATCGTGAACTGCTCAAATCCTTGTAGTTCACGAAAAGTTCAAAACCCCTAAATTGTAACATAGCAGCGTTCTTTCGCTCGATTACACGACGTTCGGGTGGTCTTCCTGTTTTAAGCTTTAATAATATTATAACTTATTTTTCGACGGACACGTTCTCCTCCGGCAGTTCGTGTTGTCAAATAACGTGAGCGCTTCCAAGTGTAGGTATCTCTGCAGGCAAATTCGGAAGGCGTATCTGGGCGGTCATATCTGATTGTACTATAAAAATGGGCGTGTCTGGCCGGCCGCATATGATTGGACGATAGAAAAACAGGCGTGTCTGGCCGGCCATATTTCATTGGAAGATAAAAAAATAGGCGTGTCTGGCTGGCCACATCTGATTGGACGATAGAAAAAAAGGCTGAACGATAAAATGCCGTAACCAGAGCCCTGTAGAGAGATCAGTGAACTAAATCACTAATCAGTGTTCGCCGCCGACAAACGCCTATTAAATACTGTTAGCCAATCAGTGTTCGCCACCCATAAACGCCTATTCGCCAGAAACGCCCACTTTTGGTCTGCAGAGAACCCCTTCTCAGCGCTTCGGTGAAGGCAGCTGAGCGTCACGTGACACGTGACGTGTAACCAACATGGTGGCGCTGAGTTGAGGCTGGACGGGCAGCTTGGCTTTCGTTAGCTTCGCTCGTCACCTGCTCTTAGGCAGGGCCAGGCCGGTGATGACGGCCTGAGAGCGCATCGGTCACACGGTCGAGAGATGCAGGAACAGCAACACAAGCCGCCACCGCAGCAGCAGCAGCACGCGCAGTCAGAAAACAGCAGGACCAAGAGCATGTTTCTGTCCAGGGCGCTGGAGAAAATCCTCTCTGACAAGGAGGTGAAGAGGAGCCAGCACTCCCAGCTGCGCAAAGCCTGTCAGGTGGCGCTCGGTACGTATTTCATTTCGTCTTCTGTCCTGCTCGGACTTCGTTTCGTGACGCGCGCGTTTTATTCGTTTATTCAGCTTGTGTTCGGCTTCTTATATGATGCTAATAGCATTAGCATCCGAGTGGCCTTTCGCGTCAGCTCAACTGGCGCCGACAGCGGTAACTAAGTAAATTATGTGTTGCCATCACGCTCATACTTTATTTTGAACCCGTCTTTGTGTTGTAACCTGTCGCCGCTGTCAAAACATTGGAGTTAACCTGTTAAAGTGGAGCTGTCGATAGCTAGTTAGGGCTAGTTTAGCTAAACGGACCAATCCTTGTGTTGTACGTAGCACTGTCACCCAGACAGCCCAGTCCTGCCATGCACCCAGACTGTACGGCAGGCCGTTTTAACATATAATCAAACCTCACCTTTCTACTGCTATAATAATATATATATTTTTAAATGGCAATTTCCCCTGTTATTCAAGTTAAAGATATCAACAAGCACAGCACTACTGGTAAATAAAATTGTTCAAGTTCTCCACATACAGGAGTTAATTTGGAAGAACTAAATGAGCTCTATAAACCAGTTGACAGTTTAAATATGTATTGGGTTGACTGGATGAGTAACTCAAAGTACATAGTTTAAAAGTACTTACGGCAAAGTATGATATTTAACACAAAACATGAGCTATACCAGATTGTTTACTCCAGTAGTTTTCCATATGTACTGATATAAAATTCTGGAAAGCGGGTATGCATTCAATGTAAACAAAGCACTTGTCTGATTCTGCTAAAGCCTGTGAGATTTGAATCAAATGATTGACCCACTCAAGTATTTTTTGTCGGTATACATGGTGAAATGACGTACATTAATCATCGATATGATAAAAAGATGGTTCTTCCAAAACAAAAACATTGTAGATATCTGGAGGTCCTTTCTGTCCACAGTCTACATTTCATATATCTTAAATGTGTTTTGTTTTTCTATAACAAATCATTTCTTAGGCTTTTAGCTCCAACTATCTGCAAGTACATTATTTTTATCTAGAAAGAACAATGTAGAAATCTGAGTTCTCATTAGGAAAACCTCACGTTTTCAATATCTTTAATTTGTTTACATCTAAAATGGCTATATAGCTGAAACATGTCATGAACAGTGGGATTGTGGATATTGGCGTGTGAATTTCTGTCATGTAAGAATTCTGTTTGCAATAGTAAAAATGTTTCATTTTAACAGGAACAATATATTTGTGGATATCTGGAGCCAAAATCTAGCAAACGTAACTGGTAAAAGTGAGCTTAGTGAAAGAAGTAATGTTATTTTGAATAGTTAAAATAGTTTTGGTTTGACGGGAAGAAATGGAATTTGATTATAATCTTTAAATCCGTGTTCTTTGTTTAAAACAGGTCTCTCTTGTAAATGAGGCTCAATGAGACTAACCTGTATAAATCAAGGACGGATGAAAAAATAATGAGATATTTCTAATTATTATAGGATAAACCTGCTTGCCATAGATCACAGGGTCTGTAAAACTCGTGGATACTCTGCGTTCATCATATGTAGGTAATGTTTCACACGTCTGGTGCCTTTGGTGTTTATAATTGAACCCAAACAACCCGCCCGTTCACCTGAACCCACCTCGCTCTCACAACTTTGAAAAGTTTGGGTTTTCTCCCGTTACAAATGCTTCAAGTGTCTGAATTCTCACACAGCTGACTGCCTTGGACCGTTAGTTTTATTGAAATTAATGCAATAAGCAACACGTTATGTTACATTTATGAGGGTGTTAGATGTAGACTATTCGATTTTAAACTCCTGTTTTAAGACCGGCTGAGATCTTGTTTGCTCCGGCTTTGAGTTACGCTCTCATTATTCATGAAACTAGTTAAACTCTACACTCCTTTCATCGACGTCCTCCTCTCCTCACTGCGGCTTGTTTTTGACCTTCTGTTTGGTCTAACTTCATAAGAATTGTTTTTGTTTCTCTACGGATGGCCTAAAATTCAGATTTTTTATCTGTGAGCAACAAACGTATGCATATCTATATTTTCTTGGATGAATTCTTGATACACAGATTTACATTGTTTGATGTTTTCTCGCATAAACTCCTAGTTCTTGCACTTTTCTGTACAATTATCCAAACAATATCGGTCGCATCAAAATAAATTAATTGCCCATTCATGTGCAAATTTAATCCGATAATAAGTAGGAAATGAATATACAGTAGCTGCTGCTATAATCTGCTTACTGTAGCCCAGTTTTTGTTTTCAAGCAATAATGTTCATTTTATTTTTAGATGCACAAGATTTTCAGAGGATCGTTAAATATATGCGTATCTAAGGTAAACAATTATTTACTAGGGAGGCACGATATTATCAGCATGGCGTCGGTATCGGATGATATTGGCGATAAAGTTAAATATCGGACATTCCATCAGAATAACTCGCCGATATAAAAGGCTTCTGTTTTAAGTTAATTTTTAATTTAAGAACCTGTCAAGTACTAATACTTATGCACTTTTCACTTGTCGCTTGTGAACAGGTTGAGTTTAGATTTGTGAAAATTTACAAATGTGCACGGCTCGAGTGTTATTGTGTTGGAGAGAGTAAATGTCATGAATAAATTTAACGTTAAACATAATCCAAGTTGAAGTGTTGCGTCATTTTCAGCCCCTTTTTTTGGCATCTGCATGTGGCAGCAGCCAAAGTGACAAAGATCATGCAGAATAATTTATTTTATTTCCACAGCAGAGAAAGATTTGTAGTCTCTGTAAGTCCAGGGGAAAATATCGATATCGAATATCGGCCAAAAATCCAATATCGTGCATGCCTAATTATTACAGTTCTTTAAAAAAAAAAACATAAAGGCAAAAATAATGCTAAAAAGTTATGAGAACCAGACAAATATGTATGTATGTATATATAATGTAAAATATGAAATCCACACAATATTTTTTATAATTTCTATTGTTAATGTATCTTATTTCACCATATTTGTTTACCAACAGCCTGATATGGGTCAGTCACGTGACTTAAGTTCCTTCAAGGTTTTATCAGATTCAAATGGGTGCTTTGTTTACATTAAATGCGTACCTGCATTTCATAATTTCATATGAATAAATCTGGATAATCTGCACTTTCTGACAGAGATTAGGACAACGCTTTGATGTTCGAGTTCATGCTTTGCAACGAACACTTTTCTATATTTTGCACGCACCATTACTCGTCCAGTCTGCCCAGTGCATGCTAAAACAGTCTGTTAAAATATTCAAGGGCTTTTGGAACTCAAACTTCAATCTTCCTAATGAAAGTCCTGCATGTGCAGAAGATAATTTTCTTCAGGAGGACAGTTCTTGTTGAAGTCTTTAACGTAACCACAGTGGAGAAACATCATTAATGTTTGTAAAAGTGCAAATAGGAGTGACGTTTGAGTGTTTGTTACAGCAGCTTGCATTTGCCTTTTGAGCAGCACAGTGGGTTAGTGGTTAGCACTGTTGCCTCATAGAAAAAAAAGTCCTGGGTTTGAGCCCTGGGCTGGGCCTTGGGTCTTTCTGTGTGGAGGTTGTTGGTTTTCTCCCCCAGCCTCACTTGAAAAAGAGCTCAGTGGGATTTGTTTGGTTCAGTAGAGCCTCATAAATAAATAAGTAGGCGGCTAGGTGCGTAGCAGAACTGGACTGTCAGGCTGGATGCTACGTACGACACGAGGACCTTTACTCTGTTTAGCTCAACTAGCCCTAACGAGCAATCGGCAGCTCCATTTTAACCATTAAACTCGATATTTTGGCAACGGTGACGTGTTTCAACACAAAGAAAGGGTCAAAATAAAGTTAATGGGATTCTTATCTATGCAGATGTACCTTCATAACATCTTTAACTCAACCTGAGTTGGTCACCCTTGGTTGAGTTCATATGGACAGACAGCAGCAGCTAGCTTTAGAGAGCTCTTGCTTTCTTCTTGCCGCCCTGTCATGAATATGATCGTCCGGTTCCTGGTCGTTGGTTTCTTAAAACTTTAGGTTTCTTTGTGCCCTCAGATATTTTACACCTCACGCTCTTGGGTTGATCTTTGATGGAAGAGTTGTTAATTTTCTCTGTGGATTGATAAAGTTGTTTCAGTCTGATAAGCGGAGCAGGTTTTATTTCTAACCATCTCGGAGAACTTTTAGTTTAAGTTCTGATCAGCTGCATTTTTCTTTTCGTGGTTCAGGGCCGACTGCTTGCGATTGTCACGTCATTGGTTGAAGTTCTTGGGCTGAAAATTCAGTTTCAAAACTTTTAATTGTTGAGATTTAAACTTTTTAAATTAGAAATGTGTACAGTAGTCCCTCGTTTATATCGCGTTGGATCCGTACCCTGGAGACGCGCAATAAGTGAAAAACTGTGAAGTAGGAATAGTAGTACAAGTAGTAATAGTTTTTATATATATATATATATAAAGTATTTTAAACCTTTCCCACACTCTTGCAAGATTCTAAATGTTTCTAAACGCTGTAAAAGAGTGCAGCATGTCATGATTTCAGTTTTCTGCCACCTGCAAGCGCTCTTGGCCACGCCCACTTCTCCGCTCTGCACGGTGAACAGCTGATCAGCTGCAGCAGGAAGTTTATCCTGCAGCAGTATGGGCTGCACAAATGTGCAGCATGTGCTAAATAATTTATTTTAAATAAAAAATCCATGCCTATCGTGCGACTCATCCGTCAGTCAGACAGTTGTGTGTCATGTTCTCTAATTTTGAAAAACCCCGATAGAGCGAGTCCATGATGAACTGAAGTAGTGAGGGACTACTGTAATTCTAAAAAACTGACCTAGTTTAATATTTGTTTTTGTATCTACTGTTAGACATCTGTTTTGTCACATTTGTGCTGAACTTTTAGGGTCTTTAAAACCTTTAAACTCTGTATTTCCTTGTGACGCACAGTGAATCTTTGTAAAAATTTTGTGAACATGTTTACGTTTACACCCTGGAGTGATGCATCGATCATTTAAGACAAGAACTGAGCTCCAAGTGGTTTTCTATGAAATGACTGGTCTATTTGAAATATACATGCATCATCTCTTCACGTTAAATGTGACGTTTCTGGTCAGTGTTGTGCAACGTTATTTCCTCTTTGTAGCCTCGAGACACGAGGAGAGAGTTGTTGAACCATTCCTGAGCTCGCTCTTTTTGTTTTTATTCTTTGCTGGTCACATCTGGCTCGACGTGCACTTTGTAGCCAAGGCTGCAACGCTGATTAGTTCATGTTTGTGTGCAACACTTTGGACAGATCAGCATGTAAAATTAATCTTAAAGATAAGAATATTAATCTAGTCAGAAAATATCAATAGCATGACAAACAGGATTACGTGGAGACTTAAGAAGACGGACGAAAACCAAATAATCTGATTAATAAAAGCAGATTAAGGTTCAGGCTTGTTCTGTAAATGAGATATATTAGTTTAGAAAAACTGCAACACAAACTAATAGCTGCTCCTGACCTTGATCTATGCTCAGTTTCTTATTTGACTTCTTTTATCTCTTTTTGTAGATGAGATCAAGGACGAACTGGAAAAACAGAAGTAAGTACGACTCCGACTAAAGATGGCGTCTCGCGGGGCTGCCGGTTGGTGAACGCCGTTCACAAGGAAGTCTCTCAAACGTCTTCAGAATATTTTTAGGCCTTTCAGAATTGTTCTCAGAAGTGCGCAGTCTCACCTCTTCAGTTTTGAAATACTCAAAGTTTGTTTGGGTGTCCCCAACTCACCTCAAACTCATCTGAAGTTTGTCACTGGCGTCTCTGACCCGTCCCACTCTACGAAGAGGAGTGAAAGTTAGAGAGTTAAGTTAAAGTCAGAGTTAGAGAGGCCAGACTGAGATGGTTTGGACATGTCCAGAGGAGGGACAGTGGTTTGGACATGTCCAAAGGAGGAACAGTGGGTATATTGGTAGAAGCATGTTAGAAATGCAGCTGCCAGGAAAAAGACAGAGAGGACATATATGGATGCAGTTGGAGAGGACATGGAGGTAGTTGGAGTGAGGACAGAGATGGAGGACGACTCGATATGGAGACCCTGAAGAGGGAAAAGCTGAAAGAAGGTTCCGACTCGTCTCCAGAGCACCACATTGTGTTTTGACTCCTGCACAGGAGCTCTCCTCTGACAAACGAATCATCTGAGGCAAACATCCGATCATTAAACTCTTCCAAGTCTGCAAATCTTCATTTTAAAAGTATGCTCCAGTGGATAAAAACAGAACATGAACGTGAAGATGGCTGCTGAGGCAGGCGCAACCTTGGCCGAGGTGTTCAACAGAACAATGTGCACGAATGCAAAATTTGCAAAACGGCGCCAAGAGTACAGTTTTGCAAGTCGTGCAACAAAAATCTGTTGTAATTCGCTGGAATTCGCCTCATGTTGTGTGTCAGCACGTCTGGCTGGTCAAATAGAGTTCGGTGGGACCACAACTTTAAAACTCTCCAGATTAGATTTGACACAAGCTAGGCTACGGTCACTGCAGCCTCTATTCCGTCTTTTGCTGAGATCTGATTTATTTATTTTTATTTTTTGTGGCGTAGTTCTTGTAATTTAAAGCTCCAGTGTGAACAGCCTGCAGCCCCGAAGTGACTCGCAGAAGAAGACGCGGCGTCGCGTGCAGCTCGCTGCGTTCGTGAAAATAATTCAGATGCTGCACGTCAGCTTGTGTGTGTACAGTTGTGATGAAAGTGATTTACAAAGATGCAGATTACAAATGTTGCTGCTTCCTGCTAGGCCTGTCACAATAAATCAATTAATCGCATGATAAATTAAAACGATCAACCTCATTTTCATTCATCTTCTTTATCGTTTCTTCTGAAGACGAGGCTCAACTCTTCACTGAGCCCTCCCTTTCTCGTTTCTCTTTAAAATCTATTTTAACTCCCATTTTTTTAGAGACACGCTGCTCGTTCCCTCACTATCCATCCTTCGGTTCATAGTCTTATGCTGCCATCTAGTGGTCAAAAAAGGTGCTACACACAAAAGTTAACCAACATTTCTTCTTAATTTTGACATTCCTAATTATTGTCAAATTTCAAACAGTATTATCGTTTATTGCAATAATTTCCGAGACGATTAATCGCCCAGCAACATTTGTTATCGTGACACTTCCTGCCTCCTCCTGTGCAGAACTGTAACATTTTTCAAACTTCAGTCACGTACAATTCAGAAGAAATGCAACATGACCGCTCAGATTAACGTCGGTTTAAAAACATCAGATTTAAATCTGATTTACAACCAAATAAGAAATTACCCTGGGTTGGTCTGATTTGCTGCAAACACGGGTTTTTGCTGTTCACGCTGTTAAAATATGTCAGATTTGGGCAAAAAACGTGAGTTTTGGGAACTGTTCTCTGCTGTTTGAGGTGCAGCCCAGTGAGATGATGTTTGAATCTTTTTGCCTTTCTGTTTTTGTCACATAATCTAAACCTCAGCGTTTCAAATTAAGTGCTGCACAAATTAAAGCCGTAAAATAAATTGTGTCGCACAGAATTCTGAATAAACTTCCAACATCGGTTGCATCAGGATCTTGACCGTCTGTTTTTTTTTTTTTAATTAGTTGTTTGTTTTCCAGGGATGGTTCAGTGGTCCCACCCAAAGCAAACTACATCGAGGCGGACAAATATGTGCTGCCCTTCGAGCTCGCCTGTCAATCAAAGTCACCCCGGATAGTCAGCACCTCCTTGGACTGTCTGCAGGTCAGTGCTCACTGACGCACACACAGACGCGCACGTCGTTAGGTCTATGTCCTTCGTTTTTGTCTCCATTGGGTAAGTTTTGGAGAGCAGGACATGAAACGGTGGTGTGTTAGTAAAATCTTGCATCATATATTTCACATGCCTGGCTAATTTCTTTAATATCATAAAACTTTTTTTAATTTTAGCTCCACTTTTATGGTAGCACTAATTATAATCGATCAAGAATCTTCACTGGTGATTTTATTGCCAATAATCATTATTACGACCGATAATTTTTATGTCAGGTGGCATAATTGTTATTATTTTCATCGTTTGTGTTGAAGTGCAGTCAGAAACTCGTTCTGATCAACTAAAACCAGAAAACACGTGAACGCAGCAACAAATCCTGAACTAACGCTCTAATAATCTGTAATCCTGTGCACGCATCATAGCAGGTTCATGTTGGTTGCTTCTAAAACTTGGGTCTCAGACAAAACTGACTCTTTTAATAATTGCATCCTCGCCTCTGCTGCCCTGACCCGTGCTCCGTCTCCCTGCTGTAGAAGCTGATTGCGTACGGTCACATCACGGGCAACGCCCCGGATAGTAAAACCCCGGGGAAGAGACTGATCGACCGGCTGGTGGAAACCGTCTGCAACTGCTTCCAGGGTCCGCAAACCGACGAGGGCGTCCAGCTACAGATCATCAAGGTACAGCCGAGGCCTCACTCATCTGGCTGCTTTCAGATCCTTCAGCTGTCACTTTTATTTTTTTACCTCATGTCCAAACTTCTATATCTCAGAACTGAGACTCGGCACAGAAATGAAGAATCTGCAAACACGCTGTCTTGTCTGAGTGACGAAATGAGTGAAATGTATTGACCTTTTTGTTTGTTTAATCTTTTCTGTGATTCTGAGATTTTATTTTTCTTTGTTCAAATTTATTTTGTTTGAAAGCAACATAGTTTTGTGATTGTTGTTAAACTCGTAATACACTCTTTGCTTGAGATTTTATAATAAACGGAGTTAAACCTTCATTCGAAAACACTAGTTAAAACCTACAAGTTGCAAAATTCTAGCTATACGTAGCAAAGTGCTAGCTAAAAGCTAAAAGTAGCATAACACTAGTTAAAAGTCAGAATTATCAAAATGCTAGCTAAAAGCTTTATTCTAACTGAAAGTAGCCAAAGAAGTCGGCTAAATGTGGATAAAAACTAACTACAAGCTAAACAAAAAATGTGAGCTAGAAACTATTAAGTATTGGCATGGCAGCTAAAGGCTAAAAGTTGCAAAATTCTAGCTAAACGTAGCCCAAGACTTCGTAAAAATTAAATGTGGCAAAAAGCTAACTACAATCTAAACAAAAAAATGTGAGCTAGAAACTAAAAGTAGTGGCATTGCAGCTAAAGGCTAAAAGTTGCAAAATTCTAGCTAATTGTAGCAAAGTGCTAGCTAAAAGTAGCATAACACTAATTAAAAGTCAGAAGTATCAAAATGCTAGCTAAAAGCTTTATTCTAACTAAAAGTAGCCAAAGACTTCCTAAAAGCTAAATGTGGCCAAAAGCTAAGTACAAGCTAAACAAAAAAAAAATGTGAGCTAGAAACTAAAATTAGTGGCATGCTAGCTAAAAGCTGAAAGTTGCAAAATTCTATCTAAACATAGCAAAATGCTAGCTAAAAGCTTGAAGTAACAAATTCTAACTAAAAGTAGCCAAAGACTGCCTAAAAGCTGAATGTGACAAAAAGCTTATTACAAGCTGAATTAAAAAAATGTGAGCTGGCACGTAAAAGTAGTGGAATGGCAGCTGAAGGCTAAAAGGAGAAAAATGCTAGCTAACAGTTGAAAGTATGAAATTGTTAGCTAAAAGCACAATAGAGTAAGCGGTTATCTAAGAGTAGCAGACCAGCAGCTACAAACTAAAAATAGCTAAAGAAGACAAACGGACCAAGTTATAGTATTATTTGTTCTATTAAGCAGGTTCTGAACATGTTTTAAAGGAATCACAGAAATCTAAATGGATTTCTTTTGGAAAATGTTTGAATAAAGTGAAATATTTGGAATTACAAATGTTACAGAACACTGCACCCATCTCCTGAATGAGCTGAACTTTTATAACTAAAATGGCATAAAATCATATCTAGTACTTTCTTTTTCTCCAGCTTTTTAAATAAAAAAAGGAAATGTACCTTCATTGTAAATGCTTGAGAGGTGTAAACATTAATTTGATGAAAGAATCTTGATGTATTGTTTTTTACAGCAACCTTTGTGACTGATAAGAGCCATTTGCTAAGGTTTATTTGTGACCTTATTTAGTTTTTTCACATCCTGGTTGGTAGGAGAGTGCAACATCTGTCCTGTACATGACTTTTATTTCATGTTATCGCTGTTGACAAAAGATTTATGGACGAGTCATCACCTGATTGGGTTCCAGTCACTGCTTAAGAGACCTGAATATTAGTGCAGCCTGTCAATTCTGCTTTTCACAAAAACAAGCACGTATTGGATTTTTTTAAATCGCGAATTTAGATTTAAACACAGACTTTACTCGCCGAAGACGCTACAAAGAGGGTGAAGTTTATTTCTGGTGTTGGGAAGCCACAGATGGAAGAAAGGATGGTGATTCAGCACAACACATCCTGTCTGATAAGAGCTTCCTCTTCTGTCTGTGCAGGCCCTGCTCACGACCGTGACGTCCCCACACATCGAGATCCACGAGGGCACGGTGCTCCTCACCGTCAGGACCTGCTACAACATCTATCTGGCCAGCCGTAACCTGATCAACCAGACCACGGCCAAGGCCACGCTCACGCAGATGCTCAATGTGATCTTCGCACGAATGGAGAACCAGGCCGTCAGTCTAACCTTGTTACATCTTTCTGCTCGGCAGCCGTCCATAAAACTGACGACCTGTTCTGAGGAGGATTAATTTATACTGTTCTATGGAAATCATCCTAAACTGATCTCGGATATAGACAAAATAAATGTTTTTGGACTAAACCTTATACTTCATGAGCTGCAGTATTTTATAATGATATTAATGATAAATTATAATAAAAATAATAAAATAAAAATGAGTAAATGTTAGTAAACACATACACTACAGGCTCTAGGTTTGTCACTTCATCCCTTGTGAGTTTGCAGGTACGACTATTGCACGTGACTCTTCTGTGGTCTCCACAGGCCCTGGAGGCTGAGGAGCAGGAGAAGGAGCGTCTGTCTCTGCCTCAGCAGAACCCGTCCCCGGTCCCGGGCAGCCGGAGGTCCGGCTCCCCCAGGTCTGACCGGACTCCTACCCCTGAGCCTCAGAGCTCGCCGTCCCCTGGAGACAGTAACTCGGACGTGGTCGCCACCCGCTCCACGCCCCCACCGCCAGCTTCTGACCAAGACACGCCATCAGTCAACGGAGAACCTGGCGGTGGCGGATCAGAACAGCTCACACCATCGAGAGGTGGGTTACCTTCGGTGCCACGATACCACAGTGGAGTTGGACACTTTTCCAAACTTTTAAATTTTTTTTTTACATTAGATTCAATTTTTGAAGATGAAGGTGTCGAGGTGCCTCCTACAGCAGATCAAGAAGACAAACCAGGGGATAACTCGGACCCAACAGAACCTGCAGCACAGGAAGGAGAGCATCATTCTAGAGAAATGAACCACGAAACAGGTCCATTCTCTCACTCACACTTTGAGTTGTTTAATTTGAATAATCACGACCTGAAGATTCGGCGTCTTCTGTTCCAGGCGGAGAACATGTAGATCCTCCTGTTCCTGAGCAGACGGAGGTGGTTCCCCACAGAGTCCGAACAGAGGCTCAGCAGATGAACGGCATCATCGAGGACCGCTCCTCCATTTCCTCCACAGACATTCTGGTGGGGACACTTTTCTTTCTTTTGCTTTTACCAAACTTAATCGATAAACGCATATTTTCTTTTGCTGTTCAGCTTTTAAGAAGTAGATTCATGGAGTACAAGGAGAACATGCTCATAAGTGGAACCAACTGAACGCTTTCTTTGTACCCTCAGACGTCTCTAAATCTAGTTTATATCTTGTTTTGTTTTTTTTATTTATCTTAGCAGATTTACTTCAATGAAAGTCATTATCCTGAACGTTTGCGTTGCTTTTTTTGACGTAGGCCTTGAAAACGTTGTGAGATTAGCCAAACTTGTCTTGAAGGTTTGTGTGTGTTATCTAATCAGTTGTTCAGTGTTGTTTTGTCTTCAGTCATCTGTAACGTGTTTTATCGCTCATAATTTCTTGGCTCTTTGTAGGTTATTATGACCTTTATTTTATTTTATACAATGTTGACATTCCTTTTGGAGCGTAGCCGTTTTATTTCTGTAGCTGACATCTTGCTGCTCATGTAGTGCAGGAGGAATCGAAGGTTTTTGTTGTTTGTAAGTAGATTTGCTAGAATGAAGCTGACTCTCCTGATCTGTGTCAGGATGCTGACGGACTGCAGGGACCCCACAGCGCAGCTCGCTTCTCTCACATCCTGCAGAAAGATGCCTTCCTGGTGTTCCGCTCCCTGTGCAAACTCTCGATGAAGCCTCTTGCTGATGGACCTCCAGACCCCAAGTGCGTAGCTTCATTTAAAGATATTTTTAAGCTGATGTCGGTGAACATGAACGGAGCTCTGCGCAGAGCCTCGTGATCGTCCGCAGGTCAACTCGGCGTTTTCTGTCCAGGTGTGACTGTCATCTCCGGTTACTGTAACATTAGGCAGCTGGCCGGTCGGAGGAAATGGGTCAGAGTGAAATGAGCTCAGGGAGAACGTCACACAGTCTGGCCCTCGTTAGATATCACACTGGATTGTTTAAACTCTACTCTATATTGTACTTTAAAGACTCTGTGTGAATTCTGCTTCAGCATTCTCACGGCTCTTGTTTTTTTTTTTTGTCGTCTGTTTTTTTGCTGTTTGCACGTTGCTGTTTTAGCCATGCCTTGAGCAAAACATTCAGCTCATTCAGGAGACGGTGGTTATGACTCCTGAATGACATGTTTTACTCAAATACGTTGAGATCTCATAAACTGAAAAACGTTTTCTTTGACGTCAACTTCAACGTACTTGCTCTGTTTTTGTCCCTTTTTTTTTTTTTGCTGCTGCTTTTGGCCTTTAGCCGTCTCTGCTGAGATCTTAGCTAAGCTATCCTTTAGCTACTTTGAGCTATCCTTTCAGCTTTTAGCCACCGTTTACTACTTATCCAACTTATCCTTAGCCCCCATGTTGCCTTGCATGAATTATGGGTGCGACTTTCAGCGCAAACAGGACAATATAATCATACCGCTGACGAGGACGAGGGACGGAGGACGACCTGAAGAAGTGACCGCAGATTACAGCTACTAGCATATTAAGCTACTTCACTGACTCGGTTCTTCTGACGGTGAAGCGATGAACAACCTGAAAAGCTCTGAGGTGTATTAATATCTACACAGTAATAAGGATGTTTTGTTAAGAGGTGGGACACAATCTTATTTACCTTAAAGCAGCCACAGAGACCAGCCAAAGCCTTAAAGTCCTCCATCACTGAGCTTGGGTTAATTGCAGATAAAATCGTAACGCTGAAGACGAACAAATGCTACAATGTTGTGCCCTCCATACACTTAAAATCATAGTTAATATTCTTGTGTTCAAGGGAAACTCTCTAAATGATGTTTACTCAAATGAACCACTCACATGGCAGGTGAAGATTTATCTCCGGCACAATTTTACGTGCAAGGACGGATCTAGGAGCAGTTTTCATTCAGCCTTTATTTAGACGGGTAAATCTCACTGAGCCTCGAGGACTCATTTACAAGAGAGACCTGAGTTCACATCAATATGCATTAAACATATACGTGTGCATCTGAAGCCCGGTAACGATGATCCGCAAAATGCTGTATTTTCGCTCGCTCACGTTTTATGTCCTTATCAACTTGACAAAGTTTCAGTGGGTGTCCTCGAAGCCAGCTGTAGTCTCACGTGGCACTCCAGGCCTTCACACATACAGTCCACGGTCAGGGATAAGAGCGTGTTTATCCGTGTATATCCATAACTCCATAACCTTTTACCAAAATCCTCTGACACTTGTCACACTGTTTTCAATCCTTCTGAGGAGCCGGTGTCTCTTCTCCGGTGGTTTATTTAGTCCAGCCACGAATAAGGATGCAGGTTTTCCTCCGTCGGCCGTTTGTCAACAAAGTGAAATGAGCACACATACAGAGTTTTGGGTTTTCTCTTCAAGTTCACATTTTTCAGTCACGTTCTTCTTAATTCCTCATCTGTAGGTAGGAGATGGAAACTATACCACTTTTCACAGGAACACTCTTTTTGTTTTGGGCCCGTGTTCAGAACCCTGTTGTTGTAGCCACTGTTTTAGTTTGGTCTGGTTGTTCCTGCAGCCGTGAACACAACAGGTACCTGAACTCAGCACGGCTATTTGAGTAAACTTTCTGCTAAACTGTAGGCAAATACTTTCAAATAAACTGCGGTCCATGCTCTGCTACCATAATTAACCAATACTTACTGCTACTTCCTGTTTGACAGGAAGTTGTACCCATAATCATTTATACAATACAGCCCCCAGGACTAAGGTGGATGTCTACTGTTCTAACACTTTTGGCTAGCATTTTGATACTTTTCACTTTTAGCTAGCCTTTTAACGCTTTTTCCAACAATTTTACTATTTTTATCTTGTAGCTAGCCTTTTGCTACATTAGCTTTTAGCTAGTGTTTTGCAACTTTTGACTTTGAGCTTTAAAATTCAGTTCACCTTCTTTCAGCGCTAGGCGTTCACACTGTGTTTAGCGAAAAAATATTTTTCTTTAGTTAAAACGGACGATTCTTGTTTTCGACTGAGAATAAACGGTTGTTATCCTCTGTAGGTCTCATGAGCTGAGGTCAAAGGTCATCTCCCTGCAGCTGCTGCTGTCCGTGCTGCAGGGTGCAGGGCCTGTGTTTCGCACCCACGAGATGTTTGTGAACGCCATCAAACAGTATCTGTGCGTGGCACTGTCAAAGAATGGCGTCTCCTCTGTCCCCGAGGTCTTCGAGCTCTCTCTCGCCATCTTCCTCACCCTCCTGTCCCACTTCAAAGTCCACCTGAAGATGCAGATTGAGGTAAACGGCACAGACAAACACGGTCTTCATCTGAAATTTGTGATCATTCATCAAGCCAGACTTTCTTTATCTGAATGGATGAAAGACTCGCATTGATTTTTCCCCTTGTCTTCTGTACCTCAGGTGTTTTTCCGGGAGATTTTTTTGACCATTTTGGAGACGTCCACAAGCTCTTTTGAGCACAAGTGGATGGTCATTCAGACTCTAACACGCATCTGTGCAGGTAAAGACACCGACAGGAGCCCCCGCAGAGCCACATTAAACATCTCCTGCAGTGTAGGTTTAATAGTTTTAAACATTTCTGGAGGTTATTCTGAGTTTGCCATTCGGAGAGACAGTTTATCCACAAAAATGAAAATGTTGATCTAGAAGAGCTGAGATTGAAAAAGCTTTTGATTCTTTTTAGTCATCTTTTGTTTACTGAACGCTTTTAACTTGTTAATATATATATGTTTTTGTATTACTTTAAAATGGTCAAAATAACTGTATCCCAGCAAACAGATGTGTAACTGAAGTCCAGCTGTGCGAGTACCGAGTCGGCATTCACACTGTTTAAAGTTCGTTACGTATGATTATTGGCATCTAAACTACTTCAGCATGATTTTAGCTACTTTAACCATTTTGGTTTCAAAACGTTCGTCTCATTCAGGAGATAAATGCGATGACTTCTGTTTTTTTTTTTATAATTTTTATATTTTTAAATTTTTTATTTTACCTTTTTGAATTTATTGAAATAAACATTTATTTTAGCTACTTCTAGCTTCTAAGTTCTTGTTTTGCTAATTTTTAGTTTAAGCTACTCTTTTGCTAATTTTATCCTTTAGTTCGCATTTTGATGGTTTTTGATACCATTTTGCATGATTTAGCTTTTACCTACTATTTGTCAATTTAAAGCTTTAGTTACTGTTCTAATGTTAGCTTTTAGCTACTGTTTTACAGGTTTTAGCTGAGAGTTAAGATTAGCAAAACAGCTAAATGATTAAGTGAGCAAAAAGCTTTTTGCTATTGTCATTTACTGAAGATTTAGCTAACATTTTGATCCTTTTATTCTCTAGCTACTGTTTTGCTGGTTTTGGATTTAAGCTGGTTTTAGGTTTTATCTACGACTTGGCTATTTTTTAGTTTTAGCTACTGTTTTTCTTTTAGCTGCTGCAACAGCTGATGCGCAGGTCACCAAGTGTTTCATTACAACAATAAAATGTATTTGTTGTTATTAATCTGTTGACTTCAGCTGTGCATCGCCTCAGTTGTTTATAAAAAGAACAATCATTTTGTTTTCCTTCTCTCAGATGCCCAGTGTGTGGTTGATATCTACGTAAACTATGACTGTGACTTGAATGCTGCTAACATCTTTGAGCGTCTTGTCAACGACTTGTCCAAGATTGCTCAAGGCAGGAGTGGTCAGGAGCTCGGGATGACTCCTCTGCAGGTACTTTCATTAAGTGTCACAGTGACGCCGGCAGGTTCACACATTTCATTTATTTGTTTAATAAGTTTTCACTGCAAGAGTTACAAAATTTTCTAATTTGGAGTCATTCAGTTGTATTAACTGGAATTTATGGGAATGAACCTGGAGTTTAAAGTCTTGACGTTGACCCTAAAAGGGATTTTAAATATAGTTGTTGGGCAAAATAATTACTGTAAACTTAATTTAGACTACATTAAATTTTAGTGCTACACCCTAAAACTTGAGAAATGGTCACCTGGCTGTCTAGGGACAGATGAAAATAGTTACGTGTAAACGTTTAGTTCAGAGTTGTACATAGTTCTGTTGTGTAATGCAATTTACCAAAATTTTTTTACTATATTTTATGCTAATTAAAAAAAAAAAGTCAATTGTAACCAAGTAACAGAGAAATACGTTTGTTCAATGAAATGTGAGGTTTTCTGTACGGATTTAACATGAAAAATTATGTTTATAGCATGAATATTTTAGTTGTGTTCATGAATTTTAAAAATAATTACAACAAAAATAAAATTAAAATGTTAATTTGTTCTCGAAATGTTGTGTGCTGATGTCTTTAGTGATGTATTCTCATGCAAATTGGATTTTGTTACTTTCATAACCATTGTCAAACTTTTATTTGTCCATGACAAGTCAACATTTACACACACATATGTATATGTGCATGTATATATATATATATATATATATATATATATATATATATAATATGTATATGTGTGTGTGCTTTTGTCTAAATTATTTTCAGTTTCACCCAATTCCCATAATTTCCATGGAAAGCCTCTGGAAAATTCCCAGAAATTTTCCACCCCTAATCACAGCGTATAGTTGAAGATGAAAGCATTTGTAACCAAAGTGTTGGAGTTTGGGACTTAGCTTTTGGTGTGACTCCTGCAGGAGCTGAGTTTACGTAAAAAAGGCTTGGAGTGTCTCGTGTCCATCCTCAAATGTATGGTGGAGTGGAGCAAAGACATGTACGTGAATCCAAACCTTCAAGCTAACCTTGGTAAGAGGACTGCACTAGGGTTTGGAGAGTGAGGCTCTGCGTGTGTCGTTACCCGTTTTTTTATTTTGTTTTCAGGTCAGGAACATCCGTCTGACTGTGAGGGAGGAGAGCTGAAGCTCCCGGAGCAGATGTCAGGGCGTCGAGACAGCATCAGCTCGCTGGACTCTTCCTATTCCAGCGTCCCCGCCTCCCACGCCGATCACCCGGAGCAGTACGAGGTTATCAAACAACAGAAGGAGATCATCGAGCAGGGCATCGATCTGTGAGCTCTCATTCTCAGCCTGTTTGGAAATTATTATACGCATTAATTTGTGGACTGCCTCGTATAAGGCAGGCACCTATTATTATCCACCTGACTTGGGGTTTCTTAACTTTATTTATTTATTTATAGCCTACTCTTCGGTCAACCGAACCGCAATGTGTCCTCCACAAGTTCTCTATCAAAACGATCGTCTCGTCACCTTGATGTGTGCTGTTACTTTTATTGGCATTTCGAGTTGCCATGCGACATAATTTGCAAACGAAGACGCCATTTTTCCCCATACAAAACGCCTGACAGAACACCTCTCACACTATGTGCTGCCGTAAGGGTCGCATGACTTAGAGTGGAGAGCTCCCTGAAGAAAACTTAGAAAGTCACTGTTGGATTTGTTTGAAACGCACAGAAAGTAATCATCAGATGTACCTCTAGGACTGATTTAACGTTTGGAGCTATTTTGATTCAAGATGGCTGCCACAGCTACCTCAGCAAACACAAAATTGACTAACTCACTGATTGCCATATTGAGCTGAAATTCGGTATAGTAGTAGCTGAGAGTAAACCCGAATACACAGTACTGTCAAAACTTTAAATTGGCAGCAGCGTAGCAGTCTCCATCTAAGGTTCTCCAGGAACCTTCTAGTTCTATTTTTTATTGAGCAGAGAATATTTACAGTTCTGTACTTGTCTGGAGGAAAATAATAGGTTTGTCCTTCTGTTCCCACTAGATTCAACAAGAAGCCGAAGCGTGGTGTACAGTACCTGCAGGACCAGTGCATGCTGGGATCCACGCCTGAGGACATCGCTCAGTTCTTACACCAGGAGGACCGACTGGACACGGTGAGGGCTTCTGCATTTTCACTGCGTTATTACAGAAAACGTTAATTTCTCGAGGTAATCTTGTTTTTGTGTGTTGCAATGACAGACGCAGGTTGGGGAGTTTCTTGGTGAGAATAACAAGTTCAACAAAGAGGTGATGTACTGCTACGTGGACCAGCTGGACTTCTGCGGCCGGGACTTTGTTTCTGCTCTGAGGACGTTCTTGGAAGGCTTCAGGCTGCCGGGGGAGGCCCAGAAGATTGATCGGCTGATGGAGAAGTTCGCTGCTCGGTACCTAGAATGCAATCAGGGGTAAGGGCTGTCGTAGTACCGAGTAACAGTTTGCAAAGGTTTATCTGTGTCTGTCTGAAAGTTTTTGTTTTTGCAGACAGACCTTGTTTGCCAGCGCGGACACTGCATACGTGTTGGCATACTCCATCATCATGCTCACCACAGACCTGCACAGTCCTCAGGTATATTATTTTTTTTAGGCCTTCAGCAATAAAAATAATCATCTGAGTGTTAGATCTGTGGATTCAAAGTCTTTTTACAACCAGAACTCTCTGTTTTTAACAATATTGTAGATAAAATTTTCTTTAAAAGCCGTAATCGCAGTCCTGTCCGTTTTTGTTTTGAACATGTTTAAAACTCAAGCAACACGAGAAAATGTGTGTCAGGTTTTAACGAGGAGCATCTCCAACATGCTAAGAGTTGTATTTTGACACTTGCACTGTAGCTCTCTTGTCAGAAAACATTAGAGGCTACAACCCGCACACAACTATAAGTTGTGCGTGATTTTTAAATACTAGCTCTTCAAACACGGCCATGCAGCTCGCTGGTCATAAACTCCCTGAATGTGAAACTTCAGCTGAAAATGTGCTTATTTTCATGCCATTTTAAGTCTCCAGCAATAACATCCCAGTGATCTACTACCTTAAGCAACACATTTAGACATTTTAGTTTTGGTAAAAAAAAAAAAAAACTTGTTATAACATTAAATTTGTAATTCAATAAAATGTTATTTGGTTCTGTAAATATTGAGATGGAAATGTTAAATGAAGTTGTGAGACGTTTATAGTTTTGTTAAAGCATCTGCACTGCTTCTTGACGTTCTCCTTTAAAGAACCGTGTCGCGTTTTTGTTTTATTTCTGTAGGTGAAAAACAAAATGACAAAAGAGCAGTACATCAAAATGAACCGAGGCATTAACGACAGCAAAGATCTGCCTGAGGAATATCTCTCGTCGATATACGACGAAATCGCAGGCAAGAAGATCGCCATGAAGGAAAGCAAAGAGTTTTCCATCACCCCGAAGTCCAACAAGCAGAGTAAGTTCTTGCTTTTTATTCAGGATTAATTGATTTGTACAACGTTGACTTTCTGAAAAGAAAAATAATCATCTGGATGAATTTAGCTTTTTTTTCACAAAAACCATGAGAAAGATTGTAGCCTTTCTTTTGCAGATGTGGCCAGTGAGAAGCAGCGCCGTCTGTTGTACAACATGGAGATGGAGCAGATGGCGAAGACCGCCAAAGCTCTGATGGAGGCCGTCAGTCACGCTCAGTCACCGTTCTTTAGTGCTACACACCTGGAACACGTCAGGCCCATGTTTAAGGTAACACTTTGGACTTTTATATATATATATATATATATATAAACAGATTTAAGAAATTGTACTAAAAATAGATCTATGCAACAAGAAAGGCTGCAAAAACAAGTATCCAGAGCATGAGGAAAAAAACTAGACATATAATCATATGTCTTCTGTTACGTTTATTTTAACTAGCGGGTTAAACTGTTTATACTAAATAAACCATCAGTTTTAAAATCTACATCTACGTATGATTTCTGTGTTTTACAGCTTGCATGGACCCCTTTACTGGCAGCCTTCAGTGTAGGTCTGCAGGATTGTGACGACCCAGAGGTGGCCTCGCTGTGTCTGGAAGGCATTCGATGCGCCATCAGGATCGCCTGCATCTTCAGCATGCAGGTCTGGTGACACATTTATGTCCTGTTCTATACCTAATGTTTGAAATAGAAAAAGAGAAGTCCTAGCCTCAAATCCCGGACGAGCCCCCAAATATATTATTGTCATTGTGTCAAGGAATTGCTCAAAGGACATAACATGGAGTACAGACAGCTGCAAGTTTAAGATGATATATAAGAATGTTATTGATTCCAGAGGAAATTGTTAGGAATTTTATTTTAAATAATTAACAAAACCAAAGCGGTTTGAGGCTCCACCAAAACAAACGCAAGGAAGAAAGCGTTAAACCAGCCAAGTAGATGACTTTTTGATTCAAGCTGCTTCTTTAAACTTATGATCCCTAAACTAAACCAGATCAGCTAGTAATACCTAAACCAAGTTGGTAATTAAAACATTTTGGTTAACAAAAATGACAATGGCCCAAGGCTGGCATCTATAGACGAAAGAGCGAGTGGAGATGGAACGCTCAACCAGCAACCATCAGTCATGGAGCCAACCCCAGTAGCCTCCATCCTGCCTTCAGCCTCTCTCTAGCAGAGGATGGTGTGACTTTGAAAGGTCCTGCCATCCAATCAGGACTTGAAACTGAGGACAAGTTGAACAGAAACTCGTTCACAAAATTCCAAAGTCCATGCTCAATAATCCAGGTATAAAATCCAACAGTGTTCAGTCAGGTCGGAGGGCGAAACATCTCGGCACAAAAAGAAAAAGAAACCGTCCAGATGACCTGACTGAACATTGTTGGATCGTTAATAAAATGTTACAGGGGTACGTAACGTCATGAGTAAGGGAGATCATTTTAGTTTTTTTCTGTGTTGACCATCATATTCAAATGTTTAAAGTCATCTTTTAAGTTGAATTTAAATCCTGAGCAGGTGGTGACCGGCCTTTTTGTTTGCAGTTGGAGAGAGATGCGTACGTTCAAGCCTTAGCCAGATTCACACTGCTGACAGCCAGTTCCAGCATCACAGAGATGAAGCAGAAGAACATTGACACCATTAAGACCCTGATCACCGTGGCCCATACTGATGGAAACTACCTGGGGAACTCCTGGCATGAGGTGCAAAAAGATATTCAAACATGTGTTGCAATTTTGCTAAATTAAAGTCTTTTGGGTTTGTGTTTCTCTTTATCATCAGGTTTTTATGAAGCTTTTTTTATACTACCTGTTTTTTTTTTTTGTAGATCTTAAGGTGTATTAGCCAGCTGGAACTTGCCCAGCTGATTGGCACAGGGGTGAAGACGCGCTACATCTCAGGGGTGGTTCGGGACAGGGAGGCCACCATCAGGGGCTTACCTCCTGGTACTGAGGAGTTTATGCCCCTGGGTCTGGGTAGGTCACACAACCAAACTTGTATACACAGTTTACCTTTATGCAACACCTTCTTCAATACATCTAAGGCTACATTCACACGGCATGCAGGTTTTAATTGACTGATTTGTCTATTTTCGTAGGGATTTTTTTGTTTGTTTGTTTTGTGGGTGGTGGTTCACTTATTTTGAATGCAGCTGCCATCAGACTTCAATGTAAACAGTCTAGGCCCTAAAGCAACCCACATGTGCATAAAAAGATGTAATGTCACATGCAGTACGCTTTGTTTACAGAAATAAATGCGGATGCTACACGTTAGCATGTGTGTATCAATTCTTGAGTTGTTGTGCAGCCTTAGACAATTAAATTATTATCTGACGTGATTGTTTCCTCTGTTTACGTGTAAAGTTGCTGCTTTCCATCTACTCCGACTTAGAATTGCATTTCTGAAATGAGAGTGAAGTACTGAAAAAAAGGAGAGAAAGAAGCTATCGATCCCATCAGGGCAGACGAGGCTGTGCATTGCATTGGAGGACGACTGCTCTAACCACTCAGCCACAGCCGCCCCGTACCACATATAAACATGACCTGGGTCGGATTTAAAAATATCTGATTTGACATGTTGAGACTGTCAAATAAAATCAGATATAGGTCCCATATGGGTTTAAAAAAAATCAGATTTGGGCCACTTTTGTCTACATTGTAGTCGTAGCCTAATACACACATTTATTTAGTTTTCCTGACATTGTTGTCTGTGCATTCAGTGTACTTTTTGCTCATGTTGTGCTTTTGCTGTTGCAGGAAACCTGGTTGGAAATCAGGACAAGAGACAGATGGCTCACATTCAGGAGTCCGTAGGAGAGACCAGCTCTCAGAGTGTGGTGGTGGCTGTTGATAGGTGGGACATCAGTAAAAATATGCACAACAAATACTTTCTGTTGCTTCAGATATTAAAGCTGTGGTCTTTTTGCAGGATCTTCACTGGTTCCACAAGACTAGACGGAAATGCTATTGGTGAGTTTATCCAGCATCATCTACATTAGGTCCGTGTTTGAAAGTTGGAAAAGTATTCATACAGTTTGTCTTTTTTTTTCCTTCTAGTGGACTTTGTCAGATGGTTGTGCGCGGTGTCCATGGACGAGCTGGCCTCGGCGCACCAGCCGAGGATGTTCAGTCTGCAGAAGATCGTGGAAATATCCTACTACAACATGAACCGCATCAGGCTGCAGTGGTCTCGAATTTGGCAGGTTATAGGAGATCACTTCAACAAGGTCAGTGACGTAAGAGATCCTTAAAGCGTGAGTTTGAAGGATCATCACTATTTATTTATAATAATTTAAATGGAAAAGGTCAGTGTGCTATCAGTTGATCCAAAAATGCAAAGCAGCAGCTAATCTTTTTACAATATACCTTTTATAAAAAGGCAGATATTCTTCCAGTTTTCTACAAGATTATATATATATATATATATATATATATATATATATATATATATACTCTCACTGGGTTTGCAATTATTTGATGATTGGCATTCACAAAGGAGGCTCCAAAACAGGGGTGCCCACACTTTTTCATCATGCAGCTCCTTTTAAAATGACCAAGTCAAAGTGATCTACCTGCTATAAGAACCATTTACATGAGAGCAACCTCTGGAAACTTTAGTGTTTTTTTTCAATGTGTAATAAACAAAATAATGAGCAGGTTTACATGAAAACACTGTAGTTTCCATGTCAGTCGGGTTGCCAGATAAGGAATTATGAACTATAGTACTGTAGCTTTAAAATGATGGTATTTTGACCTAAACTGTCATATGTGCTGAGTAAAAATATTCTAAGATGAGGTGTGTGCTGTGTTTGTTGAGCATGTGCACAGAAAAGGAGGGAGTAAATAAGACATTTTAATTTTATCTGGTTTACCCTGATGCATTCACCAGCTGCATTCATCGTGCCTGCAGTGTCTGCATGACGGTTACGCCCAAACTGGTGAATACGCTAACGTCTCTTTGGACCCTGGATTTTATTTGATCCTACATGTGATGGCAGGGCGGCTGTGGCTGAGTGATTAGAGCGGTCGTCCTCCAATGCAAGAGTTGGGGGTTCGATTCCACCAGCAGTCACATGCTGAAGTGTCCCTGGGCAATTGACACTGAACCCCTCATTGCCTCCGATGTGTGTCCCATCGGTGTATGAATGTGATAAAGCTCTGATTAGTCTTTGTATAGATCTAGTAGAGTTCTGTATTAATGGGTAAATGAGGGCACATATTGTGCTGTAAAGAGCTTTCAGTGTCTAGATTAGATCGAAAGGAGCTCTATAAGTACAGTCCATTTACAAGCTGAAAAAAGGGTGAGTAGTACAAAAACACTGCTCTCTGCCATTTATTATTACTGTTGTTAGTGCAGAAAAACTTTGAACTGCAGCCGTATGTACTGCACATGTATACAGTATATATACATTTCTTAATTTGTTTTTGTTTCAAACTTGTCTGATAGTTTAAATTCAGCACTGCCTCTTCGATGCTCTGTAGGTGGGCTGTAACCCCAACGAGGATGTTGCCATCTTTGCTGTGGACTCACTGAGGCAACTTTCCATGAAGTTCTTGGAGAAAGGAGAACTGGCCAACTTCCGCTTCCAGAAAGACTTTCTCAGGCCTTTTGAGCACATCATGAAAAAGAACAGGTGATTATTGTAATATAAATAGGATATGGGAGGAGTGCAAACTCTTAAGAAGTAAAAGTGGTTCAAAGAACTACTTACTCTTAAAAATGACACCATTTATTAATTTATCCTATACTGTTTATTATAAATGCAAATGAAAGACCTGTTGAGGGTTTTCAGTGAAACATTAAACACAATATGCTTCTTAATGGAAAATTTAATTTATGCTGACATAGAGGTCCAGGCATTCTTGTTCCTTTAAGACTCAGAGTTCAGAACTGAATAAGCCTCTTGGATAAAAGGTGAACCATCTTCAAGAAACACGGAAAGAAGTCCAGTTTGTGTCAAACATCTAGAAATATGCTCTGTTAGAAAAACACGTCGCTTCACCATGTTTCTTTGTCGCTGTTCAGACTGGTTCATGCTCAATCAGCCAGGTACCAGTTGGTGGGGAAACCGTTTACTGGAACTCCCTAGACCGACGGAGCGAAATGTCTATAAAAAAGAAAAAGTCCAGATGACGTGACTGAGAATTATTGGGTTCAGACTGGTTGCTACAAGGAATTTGACTGCAAGAGGTCGGCTCTGCATTTTATAGCATATAGTCACCACAAAAAACAAAAGAAACATTGAAAAAGACAATGTTGTCCTGTAATTTTCTTTGATTTATAAAATTCTGTCTAAACATCCATTTATACTGAGAAGGATTTTAATACACAGTCTTTATCTTTAATTGGTCAGTAGCTTTTAGTTTTTACTTTGAGATGTCACTCCTGCTTATGTGACGTCCACTGCTTGACTCATGATGGACTACTGCATTAAATGTGGTCCAGACTACCTCCATATGTGGTCTGGGTCCTGTATTTAGCTCTGTTCAGTCGCAGTCTGATGGATAACCGTTTTAAAGAACGTGTCTGAACAGCCACTCTGCATTCGTTCCCTCAGGTCCCCCACCATCAGAGACATGGTGATCAGGTGTGTGGCTCAGATGGTGAACTCCCAGGCGGCCAACATCCGTTCTGGTTGGAAGAACATCTTCTCTGTGTTTCACCAGGCTGCTTCTGACCACGATGAGACCATAGTGGAGCTGGCTTTCCAAACGACCGGGTACATCGTCTGTGAGTATGCCTGCACACCGCCCTGAGGTGCTCACGTGTGGCTGAGAAGATGAAAGATAAGAAATGTACTCGCCATCCGTCTAACGATGGGTGTTGTAGGTCTGATGTGATTTTATTTTTTTCTCTTTCTCATTAGTGAACACCTTCCAGGAGCACTTTGCCGCTGCCATCGATTCTTTTCAGGATGCTGTCAAGTGTTTGTCAGAGTTTGTGTGCAACGCAGCTTTTCCTGACACCAGCATGGAGGCCATCAGGCTCATCCGACACTGTGCTAAATACGTCTCCGAGAGGCCACAGGTAGGCTGTCCGTGTTTATTCATCCTGCTTGATGTTTGTTTTTGGAAAGTAACTTGATAAAAGCGCATGACGTATCTGCGTCCAGGCCCTGAGGGAATACACCAGTGACGACATGAACGTTGCTCCCGGGGATCGGGTCTGGGTCCGAGGCTGGTTTCCCATCCTGTTTGAGCTCTCGTGCATCATCAACCGCTGCAAGCTAGACGTTCGAACCAGGTAGCAAAACAAATCAGTCCAAGAGTTTAAATGTATTTTTTGATGATTATTTAAAATGAGACAAAGTTGAAGCATATTGCAATCTAAGCACACAAGTGTGATGGACACTTTTAGAGTGAGATAAATTTTAACTTAATGGCCATTATAAATAGATTTTTAGAAAAAATAATACTTCCTCTTTGGATTCAACCTACTCATCTTTAGATATTTTATTACTAACATACCTTTTAATAACCAAGGAAAGGGTACAAAACACATTAGAAATTATTTAATTTTCTTATTGAAGTGAAGTTAATCGGTAAAAAGAATGTAAACAAATGTGCAAAATAACGTTTTTTAACAGGAAGGTGACTAAATTATTTTTAGGCAGAGACTTTGACCTTGTTGCAAAGCCACACATCTGCTGATATCCTTAAAAAAAGAAAGCTTGAATTATTATTTTTTGTTATTAAAGTTTGAAAGCTGCTTGGATTTTAGATTGTGCTTTAAAATATGATTAACTAATAATATTACTTTCACTGTAGCCTGATGCTTGTTTATTTTTTAGATTAAAAATGGGAAAAAAATATTTTTTATAACCTCTCAAAGTTTTTATTTTATTTTTATTTATTTTTATGCTTGGTGTTTATTTTAAAGAGTTCAAGCTGATAGAATGTCTTCTTCAAAGTCTAAATCATTTACAACTTTTATATTTTTAACAAAAACCAATTAAAGGTAAAATGGTCAAATGCTGTTTAATATTAACACTTTAGGTTTGTAAATAAATAAATAAAATGTCCTGATGCTCAATAATCCAGATAGATGAATCTAACAAGGTTGAGTCAGGTCCTCTGGACCGATTCTTCTTCATTGAAACGTTTCATGTATTTTGTGGTTTAAAAGCCACTGGGACGTTATGTTTAGAAAATAAACGTCTCAGTTTCTCTGATACTCCCTCAACATATGGAATGACCACTGGTCTGGGTCTGGGTTCCTCCTTTTCACCTGATGGCTGACTGGAGTCCTGTTTGGGTTTCTTCTCTGCTTTCAGGAAGGCCCAGTTAGGATATCCACATTGCTCTAGAGCCTGTCTTGTGTAGGATTTCTCCTTCTGCCTGGCTCCTGAGCTAGTGGGGACGCTGTCTGCTCTGTGATACAGAGTCCTGATGACTCCTAACTTGTGCGCCAAAGGGTGATGGGAGTCAAACTTCAAATACTGGTCTGTGTGGGTGGGTTTATGGTACACCAAATGGCTTTCATCTGAGCCTCACAACTTGTGCTCACTGGAACACAAATTAGGAATTATCAGGACTCTCTACCACAGAGCAGACAGCGTCCCCAAACATTGCTGAGGCAGGCTGAAACTTTGATTCTGAGTTGTTCTGCTTCACCCTCTTTAATTTTGTTGTTGCGGATGGCTGATTCTGTGGCTGTGATCATCTCCACCAGAGAAATTCTGCTTGGTGCAACTGCAAAGTTTGACTCCCATCACCCCTTGGAGCACAAGTTAGGAGTCATCAGGACTCTGTATCACAGAGCAGACAGCGTCCCCACTAGCTCAGGAGCCAGGCAGAAGGAGAAATCCTACACAAGACAGGCTCTAGATCAATGTGGATATCCTAACTGGGCCTTCCTGAAAGCAGAGAAGAAACCCAAACAGGACTCCAGTCAGCCATCAGGTGAAAAGGAGGAACCCAGACCCAGACCAGTGGTCATTCCATATGTTGAGGGAGTATCAGAGAAACTGAGACGTTTATTTTCTAAACATAACGTCCCAGTGGCTTTTAAACCCCAAAATACATTACGGCAAAGACTGGTTCATCCCAAAGATCCAGTCCCCCGGCACAAACAGAGTAATATTGTGTATGCTGTTCAGTGTCAGGAGGGCTGTGATCAGTCTTACATCGGGGAAACTAAACAGCCACTGGCCAAAAGGATGGCCCAGCACAGAAGATCAACATCATCAGGCCAGGACTCTGCGGTCTACACTCATCTCCAGGCCAGCGGTCACTCTTTCAGGGATGAAGATGTTCACATCCTGGACAGAGAGGAACGATGGTTTGAGAGAGGAGTAAAGGAGGCCATCTTTGTGAAAATAAACCGTCCATCATTAAACAGAGGTGGAGGCCTCCGGGTTCAACTGTCCCCCTCTTACAATGCTGTGATTGCTAGTATCACTCAGCCCTCTGTGAACAGTAAACAGCCATCAGGGAACTAACGATCGATAGTTAGACTGATAGTCCTCCTTTTACATGTGAACAGCTAGTTCTGACTGTCAGCATCAAACTGGTTGATCCACGAGAAGGTGCTGCTGATGTTGCAGCTTCTCAGACTGAAGCAGTTTTTTGGATAAAAGATGAAACATTTCAACAAAAAAGAAACCGTCCAGAGGACCTGACTTCATTTTTAGATTTTTCTACCTGGATTATTGAGCATCAGGACTTTTGTGTACAGTATCATAAAATGAAATGTTGTTTTATTTATGCATAAAACATAATTTAATGTCATGAAAATGTGACATTGGCACGACTTTTTACATTTTTACAGCTGCACAAATAAAAATAAAAGCTTACCGATAAATTTCTCCTGAAAAAGCTCACGAAGTTCATGGATTTGACTTTGCATAAAATGTAGGGAACTGTTTTTGGTCACTTGTTTTTGTTATGATGCACCAAAACTGATATTCTGGATTGTTGTCTTTTGTCTTGGACAGAGGTCTCACAGTCATGTTCGAAATCATGAAAAGTTACGGCCGCACTTTTGAGAAGCACTGGTGGCACGACCTCTTCAGGATAGTTTTCCGCATCTTTGACAACATGAAGCTTCCAGAACAGCAGACCGAGGTCAGAGTTAAATAATTAACATTTGCATAAACATTTACTCAAGAAGGGGAAATGAAAAGACTTACTGATGTGTGGTGACGTTTTGTTTGCAGAAAACCGAGTGGATGACGACGACGTGCAACCACGCTCTGTACGCCATCTGTGACGTGTTTACACAGTTTTACGAGCCCCTCAGTGAAATCCTGCTGGAAGATATTTTCACACAGCTGCAGTGGTGCGTCAAGCAAGGTGAGCGTTTATCATCAGGACTGGCATCATTCTCCTGTTCCTCTTCACGTCAGTGAGCGCTCAACAATACTTGGGTTGTGTGCGTTTATTGGTTACCTTCTGTTTGCAGAGGGGATGAATGTCTGGCACTGAAAACATTATTAATGTATGGGTGATTTATTTTACATTTTGACACAGGATAATGTAAATCTTTAGAATATTTCGCAGCGTTATTCATACAGTTTAGTTAATGTTTAAAATGCTTCGTTAATTAAAGTGATTCTAAATTGCACGCTTGAGGTGAAACGGTTAAAAAAACAGCATGAAATGTTCTATATGGGCTACAAACAGGAAGCATGTGATATATGTTGGATGAAAATTTCCTCTTTTCATTTTTCTCAAAGAAGCCGCACTCGAACGTGAAGATTTTTAACTGGTTTTACTTGCAAGGCCAGACACACAACAGGTTTACACAGATGTAGAAGTTCTACGTGCGTGGAGCCCAGTTACGAGAATCTGCACCGGCCAGTGTGCGAGAATTGTTTTTATATATATCTTATCAGCTCGCTCAAAGCAGAGGCAGGCCCTGATGACCTCAGCCTCCCAGCTGCACATGCACGATCAAATCGGCTCCTCTCTGAGCAAGAAAATAACTCTCTGGTAACTCACAAACAAGATTCAACGTTAATTTGACATTAGTTAGTGATAAACATCCATAAACCTTGACCGAAAATCCCCTGACAATATAAAGTTGTATTACTCGAGCTTATCGAGAACAGAAGTTGTCACTTGTTTATGTTGTTGTTTATGAACCAAGGTTGACCCTTGCTTCCCTTTTAGGAGGAACTCCGTTTCAGTCCAATAAGACTTTTGCACATGGAAGGACTCGGGATGGTTGGACGGCTCCACCACCTGAAACACGGTTATCTGAGCTCTGAGGCACTCCGTTAAATCTTTATAAGAGTTTAACTTCTATAAAGTGCAGCTGCAGGAAAGCATGCTGGTGATATTGTTGATTGTACTGTGATTATATCAGGTGTAAACATTTCTCCCACTCTTCGTTACGATGCACGTGCTTTAGTATTTTGGCCAATAACTGTGACCACTTAGAGCAGCGGAGCTTCATCTGGTTGCCAGTTATGACTGGTTTACAGCTGGTGTCTGCAGTTTATTGCAGTTGTTTGCAGCATTGGTGTTTTGCAGTTTAATATTACGAAGAATAGGATTTTTTGATATATTGTGCAGTTTTCTTTCCAGGTTCTGTCTCTTCATGTTGCCAGCTTTTGGGAAGAAAAAAAAAAAGCCACAAAAACTACAACCCCTGACAAAAACTATGGAATCACCACTCTTGGAGAATGAATGAATAAATATATATATTTTTATTTTATTTTATTTATTCATTTATTTTTAACTCCAAGCTTCTTGCAATAAGAACCAATTAAAAAAAAAAAAAGATAAATATAAAGGAAACTGCTTTATGCACCAAAAAGAAAGAGACGTTCTTTAGATGTTATGTCCATTTGTCGGCATGAAGCTCACTATTTTCACTACGGTACCACGGTTGTCCTTGGTTGAAAAGTCTTGGCTGTCGTTAGAGATGTTCCAACGGTTTGTCTGCAGCGCGTGACTTTTGAAGCTGCCGTCTCTTGGTTGCAGATAACGAACAGTTGGCTCGGTCGGGGACCAACTGCCTGGAGAACTTGGTGATTCTGAACGGGGAGAAGTTCAGCCCAGAGGTCTGGGACGTCACCTGCTCCTGCATGCTGCAGATCTTCCAAAACACCAGCCCTCACGTGTGAGTATCAAACCTATCAGTTTTTAGATCGTCTTAGGAACATTAGTTCTTTAGGCGTTACTGCGTTGTGGGTAAATCTTGCTGCTCCGTGACAGAACACAGCTGATTCCCAATCTCTGTGCACTTTTCACATCAGCTTGTTGACTTGGCGACCGGCTGGACAGGATGAGGAAGCTGGTGACAGCAAGCACTTTGTAAGCAACAACCAACTCAAACAGTGACGCAAAGATATCACGAACCCACAATGAGCCGCTTTAATTCAATCGTGAAACTGCAGCGCTGACCTGTGGTTGTGCCGTTTGTTGCCGTTTGTGTCCCAGGACGCTGATTTTGACAGTCAGTCCCAGAGCAGCTTTGACAGAGCTCTGTCTGAGAGAGGACACAGCCAAATGTCCAGCGACGACACCTGGAGGGGCAAATCCAATGCTAGTGTGTACACAAAACTCACACTCGTCTTTTGATGATTTTAAATTAAAATCTGCTTCAGAAATAACATTTTCACTGTTTCTGCACTCCAGGAGTTTCAGACCAGAGGCTGTTTGCGGGGCTCCTGATTAAATGTGTGGTGCAGCTTGAGCTCATCCAGACGGTGGACAACATCGTCTTCTTCCCCGCGACCAGCAAGAAGGAGGACGCTGACAACATGGCTGCCGCACAGGTAGACTCTCAAACACCTGCTCTGTCTGTACTCGCTTGAAAACATATTTTCTTGATGGCCGTTGCGAAGAAAAGGTGACATGTTTTTGTTCAAGTCTGTGTTTGTCTTTTAGCAAAAAGTCTCACGAACAAGTGGACAGATTTTAATGAAACTTGCAGAAAATAATAAATGTAAATCTACAGCTGGTTAACTTTTGGAGTCAACACCGGTCAAGATGGCTGCCACAGCTACACTAAAATGCCTCTACCTCAGCCAGTTAGACAGATATTTAGCTAATGTTTGGGGTGGTAGTAGTTGAAAGTCATCCTCAACACGTTTTTTCGGCATCAGCTGGTTGTGCAAGATCTCACAATATTGCATGAACCTAACGGGATTAACAAGGTTGGATCAAAACAACTCTGTCATTAAAGTCTGTCAGTCAGATCTGATTGTTTTTTACGTAAACCATGTTTATTCTATTTAAAGTATTAATCTGATGGAAAGGGATCCATGCAAACACAGCTAGAGGGGAAACTAAGACGTTCGGCTGTTATGGGTTTCATATTCCCCCTCAAAGAAACCCTTTCTTTGGAAAAGCCCCATGAAAGAAAGTTTGCATGTCAGATTTAACCCTAGGGACAAAAAGAAACGTACGACTGGTGCGCTGTAAAATAACCCGACTGTTTTCCAGCGCGATGCTCTGGAGGAGTCGGAGGCCGAGGGAGACGAGTCTGTGAAAGATCAGGGCATGTACCCCCACATGACGTCAGCACACCTCTTCAAGCTGCTGGACTGTCTGCTGGAGTCGCACAACTTCGCCAAAGACTTCAACTCCAACAACGAACAGAGGACGGCTCTCTGGAGAGCAGGTAGAAGTCCTAACGCTTCACAATAATTTCGCGTCGAACCGTTCAAAATGGAGAAACTGATCAAGAGGATATTGTCTGGAGGGTAAAAACATGAACGAGTCCACTTCTGAGTTGTTTTAACAGCTGCTGCTTTCTGCTTCTGCTCTCAGGATTTAAGGGCAAATCTAAACCCAACTTGTTGAAGCAGGAAACCAGCAGTCTTGCCTGCAGCCTGAGGATCCTGTTCAGGATGTACTCTGACCCGAAGCTGCAGGACTCGTGGCCCGACATTCAAACACGCCTGCTGCTGTGAGTAAAACATTAAAGAACGTCACGTGGCATCGCCTACTGAGGCTAAAACTGCACTGTCGTTTTGTGAAGGACTATTTGTAACCACAGATTTGAACACATGTTACTAAAACAGTGCAGGATATGTTGTTAATCTAAAAATAAGTGTCTTCACGAGAAGGAAAAAAGTGTCTGCTGGGTTTTTCAGTGTGTGAAAGTTGAGATGTTTAGCTTTAGCTATCATTTTACTACATTACCCTGATACTTTCATCGACTGTTCTATAACTTTAAGCTACAGTTTGGCTAATTGTAGCTTTTAGTTACAGTTTTGCTAGTTGTAGCTTTTGGTCACTGCTTTGTTAATCTTAGTTTTTAGCTACTGTTCTGCTAATTGAAGCTTTTTGCTGCTGTTCTGTTTATTTTAGCTTTTAACTACTATTTTGCAAATTTCAGCTTTCAGTTACTTTTTTTAAATTTAAACTTAAGCTACTATCTTGCTGATTTAAATTTTTAGCTACTATTCTGTTGATTTAAGGCTTTAGCGACCACTCTGTTATTTTAAACTTTAAGCTACTATTCTGTTGATTTAAGTTTTTTGCTACTATTTTGTTTATTTAAAATTTTAGTTACTATTCTGTTGATTTTAAACTTTAGCTAGCATTTTGTTTTTAATTTTTTAGCTACTAGTGTGTTGATTTAAACTTTTCGCTGCTATTCTATTGATTTAAGCTTTCAGCATCCACTGTTGTTTTAAGCTTTAAGCTATTGTTCTGTTGATTTAAGCTTTTAGCTATTGTTCTGTTGAATTGAGCTTTTAGTTACTATACTATTGATTTTTAGCTCTTTGCACCACTCTGTTCATTTATTTACCATTCTATTGATTTTAGCTTTTAACTACCTCTCTGTTGATTTAAGCATTTAGCTACTATTCTGTTGTTTTTTGGCTTTTTTTTTTTTTTAACCCCCGTTTATTTAAGCTTTTGTTCCCATTCTGTTGAGTTTAGCTTTTAGCAACAGCTTAGCTAATTTTAGCAATTAATTACAGTTTAGGTAAGTTTGGTTTTTAGCAAGTTTAACCTATTTTAGATTTTAATTTAGCTGATTTCAACCTTCAGTAACATTTTTGCTCATTTTAGCTCTTTCAGTTGTTCTGTTCTGCGTGTCGTTAATTATTCCAGTTATGATTCGTACAAAACTCTCATTTTGACCAGTTGCAGAACTCGTTAAAACGTTCAGGCTTTTGTTTTATAATTTTACAACTAATACATAAAATAACGAGTCTTTAGAAACGTGTATAAATGAACTTAGCTGCCAGCTCTGCTGATGTTTTTATTAGCAGTTGCTTGTTCTGTTTTTGAACGCACCAAGCACATGTTGTTAATAATTAATGAGTCTGTGATTTATAGTGGCGGCTGATTCAGTCACCTTGTTTGTCAAGAAGCAGCTGCTCTCACTACCCTTTGTGCTTCTATGATCGTAAAGACATTAAAGAAACAAAGTGTTCCTTGAAGGAATGAATATCGCCCGCCGTCTTTTATGAATTTTACACTGAGATTATGTTGTATTCAGAAATGACAGACTTGTTGCTGCTTTGGTCAAACTTCTCTCTCTCTCTCTCTGAAAGACGGATTATTTTACTGACGCGGAGTGTCTCTGCCTTCTTTTCCAGAGTGTGTACCGAAGCTCTGAGCTACTTCATCAGCCTGACCTCGGAGAGCCACCGAGAGGCTTGGAACATGCTGCTGATGCTGCTGCTCACCAGGACGCTTCGGCTGCCGGACGACAAGGCAAGAGCACACCGACGGTCCACTGACCGCAAAACACCAGCCGGAGGTCGAGTGAGGAAGAGCTGGACGGAGGAGGAAGAACAGGGAGGGTTTAACTAAACTCAAAACAAAAATAAACCAGAATCAAAAGACGTCAATATGAGCTAAAGATGTTTAATTTTCTGGTAAAATGCAGTGGGAATTCTGAGCGCTGAATGGCTTAGCTGAAAATTATTGAAGCTGAAACCACGTTGGTGAAGCTAAAAGTAGAAAGTAACTAAAAGCGAAACATCGCAAAAAGTAGCAAATTGGTACATAAAAGCTAAAAGCGGCAAAACAGTATCCAGGAGCTAAAAGTAGCAAGAGGGTAGATAAAAGTAGCAGAAGGCTAGTTAAAAGTAGCAGAAGCCTAGCTTGTGGTAGAAGAAAACTAGCAAAAACAGAAGGCAAGCTAGAGGTAGCAGTAGACTAGCTAGAGTTAGCATAAAGCTAGCTATAGGTAGCAGAAGGCTAGCTAGAGGTAGCACTAGGCTAGCTAGGGGTAGCAGAAGGCTAGCTAGGGGTAGCAGAAGGCTAGCTAGGGGTAGCAGAAGGCTAGCTAGAGGTAGCAGAAGGCTAGCTAGAGGTAG